TCAAGCCCCTGATTTTATGGAGTCCTGATGAGAACAGCGGATTTACCACTAGAAAACTGTATGAATTTGACTTAACTTTCCAATCAAAATATATTTTGCATGTTTTCAGAGAGTCTCTCTACACCTCTTCACTTGATGTCCAAACAACTCAGTTGTTAGTGTCAAATCTTAATCATACAAACAGCAGCTGAGAGACATATTTTATTCTGTTCAGTTCCTCACTGTACTCAAAAAGGATGCAACATCTAAGCACAATGCTGGAAAAGCTGTTGGGGGGTGGAGCTTCTCAAATTGTGAACTAAAAATGTAGAGCACAATACTTGAAACTAAACCACCATGAAGTAACTGAGGAGCATACTGTCTTCTCCCATAATAAAACTGATGGGAAAGAAACCCTGAAAACTCACTTCAGATGCTCTGTCTACAGTTTCTGATTAATTTGCCTCTCAGAGACTCTAACTAGAAGAGACTAATGTGAGATCATCAACGTCCAATGTGTGAAGAAAGTAAGCTTCCCTTTATGGAAAATCCAATAGAGTACAATAGCAAATAATTTTTCTAGTGACTTAAACAACTGCTGATGGAATACAAAAGAGCAGTTATATTCCTGTTGTGGAGCTCCATAGGCTAGTTAAAAATTACCATACACTCCCTTCCTGGTGAAACTTTACAAAACAGATCATCCGCAGGTGGAATCAATATGGATGCACTAGCATTGATACGATTATGTTAATCTACACCAGAGGAGGATCTGGCCCATGTGTGTGTAGAGTAATTTGATAATGAATCTCTGCAAAATTCTGTTGGTTTTAACAACTGTTAAATTCTACATGACTTTCCCATATTGATCTTTCATGCTCTGTTGTTTTGTTTTTTTAACAGGGAACCACTCCCTTCGCCATATGGTCCAGCCTCTATCCACAGTATTCTCTGCTTATTTCACCATCATGTAACACTCTCCTCTTCTGGGAACTAGATGACACAGTGACATGTGAATGTTGCTCACAGTGCAACATGAATTTCTGCTGATTTTTCTGGCACAGTACAGCAGGGGCTGACCAGGGCAGCCTCCTGCATAAAACATCTGCTCCACAGACTTGTTTGCCTTCCAAAATCCTCTGTAAATACCAACCTGCACAGAACTAGTGCAGGAGAGACACCCTTTGGGTTCACAGGCAGAGGCAAACACTTCAGTGGAGTTCCTGGTATCTCTAGTGAATATTTCAAACTACTTTCCTTAATTTTTAATACTTTGGGTGCCCCTGCTGAACACACCCCAGGTCAGCTTACAGTCATCCAAGTATCTATTTGGAAGATATTGGAACAAAAGAATTAAGAAAAGCAAATCTATATATGCCATCCAGCAACCTAAAACCATGTCATTTCTAGTAAGGACCTTAGTTACAGAAGGAATTTTGCACGGATTTGCCAACCAACAAAAATCACATTCATGGAGGAAACTCATGGCCTACCTGTTCTTAATCTAATCTCATTTAACATGTCTACAGTGGTCTGTAAAATGTCTAGTGCTCATAATTTTAAACTATGACCCTGACTCTGTGGGAGTTAATTGGGCAAAAGACCTGTTGCCATTTCATGTTAAGAAACCGAGAACTGGGTCCATGTTGGGTTTTATGAGTCTTGCTTCCTTTAGCTGCAGCAAGCCCAAGAACAGGTACGTGCTGATTTAAAACCTGCCCACTTTCAACCACATTTTCAGAGTATAGATGAGTTTGGTGAATTCCTCTGAAGTGATTAAAAGAAAAATCTTATTTTTCTCTCTGTAGGAGTAATTACTTTGCCAGGCATTCAATAATGTTGGCTTGATAAAAATCATATTTACAGTTTGATGAGCTTTCACTATTGCTGTAATATTAAGGAAGTCAACGTTTCTTTATATTAAGATGTCCCTGCACGCAATGTTTTATTTGTGGTGAGATACATCCCCACAGGTAAAGGCATGTCCTCTGATGCCAGGACGGGAGAGGGGAAAAAAGGAGTTACAACCCCCTCTTAAGATTACAGGCTTTGAGTGCCTCCTGGGCATCAAGACCATCTCATACCTTCCATGGGGCAAAACTCCCTCGTGTTTCTCAGACAGCTGTCAAAATCCTCAGCCCTGCCACTCTTGTGTGTTGTGTCTTGTCAACATAAAACTCTGCTGCACTTTGAACCTTTGAAATAGGTGAAAGAATGAACAGAACTGAAGCTAACAATAACAACTGATTCAGAAGTTGGGGAACATTGCACAGGTTATTCTGACATGGGAAGATAATGAGTGGGGATGCGCTCAGCAACAAGGTGTGCCATTGCACCCCTGCAGTACCCCAGCTCCTCAGAACTGTATCTGATGGGATGCTGCTGCTATAATCACATGACTCTGGGAAGCTGGTAGAGTAGAAAATATATATGTATAGACTGTGAGGCTCAGCACGTCAACTGGCATCAAACTTGACACAACCAAGCTGAAAGAGTCAGCTTCTGCCATTGAAGGAGACCCAAGTGCCCTTACCCCACAGAGGCCAGGTGTCCCACAAACTTCAAGTCAACATTATTTCATACCTCGACAGGAAGGACAGGTAGAGGAAACATTTTCATATGATCTCAAGTCAAATCTTTGGTAGAGAGCTACTATGAAGAGGGGTTGAGGTGAGTTGGAGAACTTCTTTATAGCTTGTGTGAGTTGTTCAGATAACGCTTTTAAAATGCACAGCTCCATGGACACCTCACCAGGAATTCCTGACTGGAAAAACCCACCACACTCTATATCTCTGCAGCTGCCAAAAAGCAGCCAGTGAAAAAATACGTCTTTTTCCCAACAATAAGGGTAATGCTTCCATTCCCCAAGCCAGTGTGAGTAGCCCACAGTTGTTAACTAGTCTAGGCAAAACAAATAAGGTTGTGTCTCTGTTTTCAGAAAATCTGACAGTATGGAGAATTGAGATTGATATTAAAGTTCCATGAAAATAGCCTAAAAACACTTCGTGGGAGAGAAAAGATAAGGAGAATAGTTCACTGGATTGTGTAGAGAAAGGGAAAAGGAGTAGCAAGTCAGGTAAAAGAAAAGGGATGGGAGGTGTGTATTAAGCCATGAAGACATGTCTGATTTTGCAGCTCAATTCTAGCAGGTTAAGAGCAGAAGGAGCAGTAAGGAAATGAAGGACAGAAGAGCTGGCTTTCATTTTAGCAGAAGTCTAAATGAAAAAAGGATACAATGTGTGATTTAAGTGAAGAAATTAGGCAGTGCAGGCTTGGAAATTAGAGACAGGGAAAGAAAATGGAGGAATGGAAAACACCTTTGTAAAAGAAGCTGATTATAAAACTTGTAGCAACTGATGCCTTAGCTAGTACCAACGTCTGGAAAATAGGATTTTTTTAGTGCTTTCTGCTTCTTTCAGAACTTTCATAACATGAAAATCTGGTCTGTATTTTTCAAAACCCTAAATATAGGAGGGGAAAGTGTTCTCTGTCAGAGTGCCTTTTTTAATTAATGAAGAAATGCAAGTGTAAAATGAACCATTCAGTATTGCGGAAATATTTGGGAAGTATCTGAAGCACACAGTAAGGGCCCAATCTAGATCTGCTTACAGTTCAAACCCACAACAAAGTTAGTGGAAGTTTTGAACACCTCAAAACGTATGTAGTGATTGAGCATAATGTAATGGATTGAATGTCAGCCTTTGGTATTGTTGAATGGGTATTTCCCACAAATCCTGACTGCTTTCAGTCTCTCTTCTTGTTTCCTGACAAAGGGAGAAGAAGCATGAGATGATCGGGGCCTCTTTGTGGAAATGAGGTTACGGGTCTTGGCAAATCAAGGTACATTCATCTGGTTTACCCCCCTGACACACGCTTGGGTACTCAGAAATTATTTGTACCAGTTCAGTTTCTCTAATTGCTTTCAGATCTAGGGTAAGTTTGTTTCACTAAAATTTCTCTGTCCTCAGCAATTACTCTATTTGGTGCAGAACTTGCTTCTGTTTTAGATTTTCAGGAAAAGAAAGAAAATATATATTAAGTCTCAGTTCCTCTGGTTAGAAAATTACCCTAAGTATACATTCAGTTAAAACTGTCTGAAAGGAAAGAAGAAACTTTTCCTTGATAGAGATGAATGTTTTTCCTTGTAACCTAACAGCTAGAAATTGAATGAATGTGTGTGCAATTTTAGATCCCAAATCAAATACCAAACAAAAACCAATTTCTCAGAGTCCTTTCATTATCTGAAAATAAAAGGCAGAAAAACAGCTGTCATAAACAAGTAACTATTTTAATTTTAATGGCACACTTCGTGGCCTGACAGCAAATCCCCTAGTTGCAGCCTGTCCTATCACTTATCTGGATTGAAAAAAAAAAAAAAAAAAAAAAAAAAAGAAATCAAAAGTATAAATCATGTTAAAGCAATTGCACATGTAAATGAATCCTCTGGAAACTAGATATCTTCGCGCTGAAATAACGAGAGGCTCTCCTGCAGCGTTACTCCGGCGAGATCTAAAGGGTGGAAATTACTGCTAAAACTCTTGAGGGATCGCATGCCGCCGCCGAAGAAACGTGCACGAGGATTTTTTCAGCTCACCGACTTTGGGCTGTTTTGTCGGGTTTACACCGTACTGCGCTTCCGCCGCTCGTCTGTCCGAGCCCCGGTGCTCCGAGAGGTCGGGGGGCCGCGGGGTGGGGGGGGGGGGGTCGGGGTGGGGGGCAGGCGGGCGGGGAAGGGGCTCCCCACGGGAGGGGAGGGCAGGACCCACGGGCGGGCGAGTCAGACCCCGCGGCGACCGCGCCCGTGGGCAGCGGATGAGCGACGCCCGACGGCGGCGGGGGTCTGCGAGCCCAGCTGCCCCGCGCCACCCGCTCCCGGGGCCGCCGCGACAGGGCGGGGGGGGCTCAGCCCCCCCTGCGCGGCGGGTGGGGAGCGGTGTCCGGCACAGACCCCCCTTCTCGTCCCGCCGCACCGGGGCCGAGCAGAGGGATTACCGGCGGGGGGCCGCGGCGCGGGGTCGGGGAGGGGGGGAATTAATGCATTAGCGGCGCTCGCTGCTGCTGCTGGCTGGATCGGATCCGAGACAGAGATTAGCGCAGCGATCGACCACCGAGGAGGGGATTTGGGCGGAGAGATGGGGGGAAGGAAGACAGGCGGGTAGCGCAGACCTGCGCCGGCCGCCAAGTGGGGGCCCCAGTTCCCGCTCCCCCGGGGCTACGGAGGATGCACCCGGGGGATACGGCCCTGCGCGCGGTTCCGCCGCCGCGCTCCCCAGCGGCCCCTGTTGCCGCGCCCGCATCCCGCGGAGGTGCCGCGCATCCCCCCGGGGGCCCCGCGGGAGGCTGGGCGGGTCGCCGCCGCCGGTGGCGAGCACTGGGAGGAGGACCCTCGCCCACACCGCGCCGCTCGCCACCGCCCCTCCCGCCCCCGCGGAGGCCCCGCCCCGTCGCGGCGGGTGGGGCGGGGCGGGGCGGGGCGGGGAGCGGGGCGCGCCCGTCCGCCGCGGTCGGTCCAGTCCGGGCTTTGTCTCCGCCCCCGCCGGCGGCGCCGCCCCCAGGGGCCGGGAGGCGGGCGCCGAGGGGAGGCAGGGCGGCGGCACAGCGGCGTCCCCGTCCCCGTCCCCGCCGCGCTCCGTCCAATGCCCGGCAGCCCGGGGCGAGGAGCCACTGCGCCTTCCTGCCGCGGCACGGCGAGTGCCTGCAGCCTCGGAGTTTTCCTGAAGCAGCCGTCCCAGCGGGAGCGCGTTTGGTAGAGAGGGAGCAGGAGGAGAGCCCGAAATGACTTACCTTCCGAGGCGCGACTGAAGGGGACTTACTGGAGTGGAACCGTAGTGGAATTTGGGTCTGGAGAGGAGTTGCTAACGCTTTTTTTTTTTTTTTTTCTTTTTCTTTTTTTTTTTTTTTTTTTTTAACCTTCTCCCTGTTCCCTCCCCTCTTTTCGCCCATCATTGGAAATGAACAAACTGCATTTGCAATTCAGAAAGTAGAAATATTAAATATTCCATCCCCCGGAAAGCACACATGTAGTAATGACAAAGGATTGCAAAGGAGAGAGTGGCTCCAGTTTCCCAGAGAGATCCCCTTAAATGGATTACTAAATGGGACACTACATCAGCTAGTTCTGTCCTCTAGCTGCCTAGATACATGCACCGAAAAGGTACAGTACTCTCCCGTCCGTATCCCTACCTGATGTTTTGGGGGTGCTCGGGAAGGAAGGCTCCCGGGTTGCCCCGGCAGGCTCGGGGGGAGCGCGGATGGTGCGTGGTTTGAGGCCGGGCTGCTGCTTTCTGTCTCGACGGCGTTTGCAGCGCCGAGGGAGGAGGAGAGCTGCCTGCAAGTGCACACGCAGCTCTTGCTCTTGCCACTTTCCAGGCACCTCGTGCCTTTCTTTCCTTTTTTTTTCCTTTTTTTTTTTTTTTTCCCGCTCCCCCCCAGCTGCTTAACGTGCTAGCCTTTCCCCCGGCCCCTTGGCACGGGGGCCCCGCTCCGCCTCCCCAGCCCCGGGCGCTGCTCGCCGCGGGGCGCCGCGGGGGGCCGGGCGGGCACGGGACGGGGGCGAGGGCCGGAGTCACCGCCCGCTCACCCCGGGGCCGCTGGGCATCGTGTGGGGCTGGGTCGGGGCGGGTGGGGGGTGTCTTTGTTACAGGGACAATGTGGGCGCTCCGTGCACAGGCGTAACCCCGCGGTCTCTGCTCTTCCGTGCGGGGTCGTTGGGTTGCGGTTGATTTTTATATATATATGTATGTATGTTTGGTCTTTTTGTTTTTTTTGTGTTTTTTTTTTTTTTTTTTTTTTTTTTATCTCCCGAGGCTGGGGTTGCGTTTTGCGGGAAGGGGCCGGGAACCGAGGAAACTTCTTCCGCGGCGCTGCCGCGGGCTTTGTTCGCGATCGTGGGCTGGGGCCGCAGGCTCCCCTCCCCGTCCGCTTCTCGCAGACGGCTGCCGCCTTCCCCTTCGCCTCCCCCTTCCCCTGGCCCCGGAGGAGGGCTGCTGCCGGCTACCCTCCCGCATCCCCGGGGAGAAGGGTGGCATTCGGGCAGGACTGCTCCCCACCCCTTTCTGCCGGGCGCCGACAGCCTCTCCCCCGCGGGCCGGTGGCTCTGCCAGCCCCTTCTCCACGGCTGGGGAGCGCAGGCAGGTGGGCTGGCCCCGGCGCCGAGCCCCGAGGGAGCGGACCCCTCGGGGCATCCCACCTCCTCTCCCTCCGCCCGCGCCCTCGCCCCGCCGCTCCTTCAGCCCCTCTGCTCCCTCCGGCCCCGGGGGAGCCGGGCTCAACGGCGGAAAAGAGAAAGTTTTTGTAAGGGGGAATAACACAGCCGGCCGGCACAAAGGAGTTGCTGTTCGGCCGGCGCTCCCGGAGGGGCTGCGGGGAGGCCGGGCGGGGGCCGGGAGCGGGTCGCCTTCGTGCCGCTGATGCGGGAACTGGATGATGCTGAGGAGGGGAGGGTTTCCCCCTACACGCACGCACACACCCCGTCCCCGTGTATGCGCGGGCAGGGAAGGCTCCCAGCTGAGGACAAGGTGCGTTAGGAGCCGTGGCGTGAGCGGGAGCCCCCCCCGCACCCCCGGGCTGCGCTCCTGCCGGCGGAGCACCGGGGACGTGGAGCCGGGTCGCGGAGCTGGGGGAGTGCGGGGGGCGGCTGAGGGTCAGCACCGCCCCACGCTCCGCCGCCGGGGAGGGCGGCGAAAAGTTTGGGTCTCCTTCGCCACGCGTGGAGAAAGTACCTGCTCCTTGCGAGGGCTCGGCCGTCCCACCGCCCTTTTCCTTCCTTCCTTCCTTGCTTCCTTCCTTCCTTCCCGCCCGAGGGAGGCGTGCCCCGGGGGTGCCTGCGGCGGGGGGGGCTGCAGCCCGGTCGGTTGCAGCGGAGATGCCCGTCTGCCCGCCGCCGTCCCCGCCGTCCTGCCGGGCTCTTCCCAGGGTGAGTCGCAAGGCGCTAACTGCTGGGTTTTCCTTAGGCAGAATGGCTCTGTCTTTTCCCTAACCTTGACCGCTTGCTCGGAGGGAAATTTGTTCTGTTCCTCTCCCCGGCTTATTGCTGCTTTTGAAGTTTGTAAACACGCGCGATTGTGCCAGCGTCTGTGCAGCACGGATCTCTAGCTGCTGTAGATGGAAAATTATTTCACTAATAGAACGGCAAAAATAAAGGCTTTAGTCAGCTCAGTGATAAATTGTAAAAGACGCCAATTCCTGACTCTGCAAGGTGAATGCTTGATCAACCGAAGGAGCGCACACGGCTTGCAGGTGTTGTAAATAAGGAAGAGCTGGATGTCCACAACCATTTTCCATCACAGGGCTGCGTGCGGTGGCTTATTATTTGACATAGATTCTGCTAAGTTTTGTTTAGTGTTATCCAGCAACGACATTAATTATTAAGCTAACCTCAAAGAGAGTAGCTAGAGGTGATTTTTCCACTGTCTTTGCAAAAAATTAGTTCCTTGACTGCTTTTGGTTTGCATGCATTTAATCTAAATGTCATCCAGTGAGCCATTCTAATCCAAGTAGTCTTTGCTTGGCGGGTAAATCCTTTGGCATCAACGTGAGAAAGTCCAGCAGAGTCAGGCTCTTTTAATGACAGAATTCATGGAGATTTTGAGAAGGCTGTGGCATTTCTCTCAGTAAGATTTATGCAGCTGTTATCGTGTTCAGGGCTTCCTTTGCCATTTGTTTTCAGACCAGAAAAGCAAAATTATCTAGCTCTGGTTAACTTTTGGGGGTTTTGTTGTTGTTCTGGGTTTTTTTTGTGTTTTTTTTTTGTTTGTTTTTTTGTTAAATTAGAGTAATGTAGTGTATTGTGAGGAAATTTGGGTCTGTTCCAGCAAACTCCTTCCTTCATGGAATTGCCTCATATGTGGTTGAAAACAACTAGCTTTAATAAGATCAGGAAGGTTTGTCACGCTTAACAAAAATTACAGTTGCCAAGGTGTTTCACTGTCTAGGGTATAATTTTGTCTAAAAGGATCCTGTTTTTAATATGGTAGCTTCTCATAGGGTATAAGACAGAATATACACTAACTCTCTTTAAAGCCGATCTCCTATGCATAAAAATGTTGACCTCTGTTCTCCACCACTCTTCAGTGGAGAAAATCTCTGGCTTTCATGGTAGTTCAGGAGGAGAATGCCCCGCTGAGATTTCTGTCTAAATGCTAAATTAATTTTAAAATAGTAAGTAATACCATAAAGTATATTTGCAACATTTGCTGTTCACGTAGTAGGAATCAAATGCTTGAAGCATGGGTGAATACTTTCAGGGAAGATGAATCATACGGTCACAGATGTTCTATGTATTCTTAATTAGTCTACATTAAAACTGTATAATCTTACTTAATGGTAAAACCAACCTTATCAACTGAACTCACACTACTCAAACCAAAAAATAATTGGGCACTAACATCTACGAGAAACACGACTAACTAACATCTCTAGCTACTTGAAGTCGAAAATTAATATTAGCATTAGCCATAGTCCCCTCTTAATGTTTGTAAATAGAGGATTGCGGTTATTGGAGTTTAAAACCAGAGAAGAAGATAGGTCAGGATAAGGATGAGGAGTTGCCTTCATTGAATTTTTGAAAAGAAAAAAAAGAAAAGGAGAGAGATCAAATTAATGACCTGTGATAAATTCAGACTAGAACTGTTTGCATTAAAAAGGAAGAAGGTGATTGTGAACTTGCTTGTGCATCTTTTGTGAAGGGAAGGGGAAATTTGTCATCTTGTTTTGAAGAGCCATACATAAATGCACATGAAAGGAGTTCACATGGTTTACAGCAGGGGAGACATAAAATGTTTTAGGATTAAATTGACCTGAGCTAATACATGCCTTGCATTCAACTTGTTTGCAAGAACACATTGTTATACTACCCAAACAAATGTTTTTTATAAAGTACCCGATTCCCATACACTATAGCAGAGAGCTGAAAACGAGCAACCAGGTAAATTCTGGAAGATAACAACGCCCAACTGTATTGGACTCGGTATATGCTAGAGAGAAGTTGAACCGAACTAAACCAGAAGTTTCAACTATCCTAATTTGATACAGATGCTACAGTATCTTACCTGCTACCATTCATTTATTGAAGAAGTAAATCGTTAGCCCTTACCCTTCCCAGTCCCATTCACCCGAGTAAGCTTTGCTCACCTAGCAAAGACTTATTTACCTGAGTAATTTTCTGAGAGTAAAGGCAGTTGCTGAAATATTACTCAAACAGAGACTTTATTTTCATGTTTAGGCCCCAGTCAGAAAATACTGTTCTCTGTTGGGAATCAGTACTTGGTGGGGACCTGAAGCTATGGTGGGAGTACGTTTGCCGTGGACTGACTTCAGTGTTAAGTCAGACCTAGGTCTGCGTGTTATTAGAGCAAGAGGTATCTGACAAATTGTGACAAGCTTTGTCTTGATGAGGCATTGGAAAAATAAGAGGACTAAGCAATGCTTTTTACTGGTGACCGTTTGAGCATTTTATGTTCATTAATTCTGTGTGTTGGGATTACTCTGAGGTGTGTGTGGCATACGGAGATATCATTTTGGCAGTAAGATACAGACAGTAGTAGCATGGAGCCCGGGTGCTGATCAACAGCATACAGCAACCATGAACAGTGTTCAAAGGCAGAACAAACAGCTGGCAGAAAGGCTGGGCCTGAGCCTGACACCTCTCCAGAGGAATATTTTTATTTTTGGCCTGTCACACCAGTCTCTTGAGTGAGGAACATGTTAGATGTGTATAGGGTCTATAAAGGGAGAAATGGACTACTCCAGTTTCAAGTGCAAACCTATCAGACCGGAGTTTGTATATCTTTATTTTCTTTATGTGCTCTCTTGCAAGACAACTAAACCATTACATGTGGCCATGGAAATAACTGAATGTTCACATTTATACAGTGTTAAGGGATCTTTAATCGTCCGTGGTGAACAATGCTTTGGTTTTGAGTCGTGGTTACAACATGGCAAGTATGGCAGGACAGTTCCAAGGCACTGCTTTAGGATTTCAAGGGAAGAGTGCCACCTACTGTGTTATACATATTGCATGTCCTGTGTGTCTCCTGGAGTTCTCAAGCGACTTGTTTGACTATTGTATTTTAGCAGCTGGAAGATGTGAAAGGATTGAAAATTAAATATGGTGTGGGAACTGAAGGAGAAAAAAAAAAAAAAAAAGTATGCATC